AGAAGTTTTTCCTAATATCCAACCTAAACCTTCCCCACTGCAACTTGAGACCATTACTCCTTGTTCTATCATCTGGTACCACTGAGAACGGTCTAGATCCATCCTCTTTGGAACCCCCTTTCAGGTAGTTGAAAGCAGCTATCAAATCCCCCCTCATTCTTCTCTTCTGAAGACTAAATAATCCCAGTTCCCTCAGCCTCTCCTCATGAGTCATGTGCTTCAGCCCCCTAATCATTTTTGTTGCCCTCCTCTGGACTCTTTCCAATTTTTCCACATCCGTCTTGTAGTGTGGGGCTCAAAACTGGACAGAGTACTCCAGATGAGGCCTCACCAATACCGAATAGAGGGGAATGATCACGTCCCTCGATCTGCTGGCAATGCCCCTACTTCTACAGCCCAAAATTCCATTAGCCTTCTTGGCAACAAGGGCACACTGTTGACTCATATCCAGCTTCTCATCCACTGTAACTCCTAGGTCCTTTTCTGCAGAACTGCTGCCTAGCCACTCGGTCCCTAGTCTGTAGCAATGCATGGGATTCTTCCGTCCTAAGTGCGGGACTCTGCAGAGAATTACTATTTTTCTGGTGGGATGCCTCAGACTGCACTGGGTGTTAGGTATTTAAAACAAAAACAAAAAAAAAGTCCTCGGGGAGGATATTGCCCAGACTTTTCTCAAAGGACACCCTTTCTCTCACTAGTTTAAAATCAAACAGGTGGAACACTGTACTGTACTGTTAATATACTCCACATATTTTCCTGGAACAAAGCATAAATGGCAGCATGGCACTGCTTTTATGGAAGTAAAGATGGAAAATAGGATTTGTTGCAAAACTTTAAAACAAATGTTTTTTGTGAGGTTCTAGGTTTTTCTTTTAATATCTCTGCACAAACCCAGGCACACATTTTACATTTCACAATTATAATTCTTAATAGCAAACTTCAAGATACCCACGGACAGGTAAATTGGGTGACCCTCAAAATGTTAAGCGTCTGGGTTCAGTTATGATAAGCATGTATATCAGACTACCTCAGCTTTAGGGAGAATACCACAAATCCTCCCACCACACACAACTTCCACCTGATACTTTCTTGAGGAAGTGGCGCCTAATGGTTGATTAACTCATTCTAGTATGTTGAGTGGGTGTCTGCTGGGCCTGCTACCCATTCACATATTCAGGCCCTTACCTATCAGAGCATTTAAACATGTTTAACTTTAAGCATGTGAACAGTCCCACTGACTTGAGTAGTCCCACTGAAGTCAAGAAGTACTGACGTGCTTAAGTGGTTTGCTGGATCAGAGTCTTCAGGAGCAGTGAACATACCTACATTCACTCTACCTTTTCTGGAGGTGACCTGGTCAATACACTTTCTCCTATTCTAATCTGATGGAGACTCACCCTTCCCCTCTTTCTCATTAGAGGAGCAACTGGAAAGTCTGGCCCCCCTAATCCAGTTGGGGATGGCAGGCCTGCTCCCACCATTCTAGCCCAGCAGGGCTTGAACTCCCTGCTCTAGCCCTTTGAAGCTTTATGCAGTCTGGGACGCAAAGCTCCAAAGTGCTTGTACAGTGGTGCTTTGAGTGTTTTCAGAGTTTAAACAGCCAGAGCTGTAGGACCTAACAGAATGCATTTCTAGGAACTCCTGCGCTTGAATGGGTATATGCAGCTGTCAACTACCCTGGGATATATTAAGAGGGAAGATGGAAGGCCTCTAGGACTCTTCTTCCTCAAAACTATACCATCCAGTAAGTGCAGATGGTAGGTACATAGGAGTGTGGTTAAACCTTCCAACTTTCCCTCAGGAAGATGGGTGATTCTTAAGTGAACTTTTCAGAACCTCAAAGGTGAAGCTCAATGTGTATTTACATGATGGCATTCTACTTCCTGGAATGCTTGTGGGAGTTGATAAATGATGCCTGAGCCAGGGGAAATAGATGTTATGTATCATTGTGGAGCGCCAGTTCAGCTATAGTTAAGGCTGAGAACCTCTTCCTGTTTAAAGGACGACTTTTTCTAAATGTTCTAAACTCTGCTTGTTTGTTTTGAAATTTGCTGTGCCTCATGGAAGTATGGGGTAGGGAAATGGTCCAAATGTGGAGTCATTTGAGCAAGGAGCTCCTTCGATACAGCCTCTTGGGGAAAAAAACATTTCATAAAGTCCACAGATTCTACCCTTTTTTCTTTTTTTCTTTTTTTTTGCACACACCTGGGGCTCAAACCATGGCTCTAATCATCCCCTAGCTGCTCTCACTCACTCAACAACTTATCTCAGCTAGTGCATGGCACCCACTGGCCCTTTGGGGAAGCAATACTGAAAACATGATTAAAGGAAGAGTCTAGCTTTCTAGAATGGAACGTAACAAACACTCGCATGCCAAACAGATTGTAATATACACATGCAGAAAAAGACAAGAGGGGTTCCAGTCAGCCTGGCTTCACATGACCTTGATGGCTCGAGGAGACCTCCGGTGGCCCTAGAACCTGAGCTATACCCCAGCACTGTAACTTCAGACCGTACCCTTGGCAGAAGTCCGAGGAAGATCTGTAGGCATACTGCTGCTATCTGCTTCTGCAAAGTGATAGTTCTTGGTTTTTTGTTTTTAACTTCTGGGAAATGTAATCGGACTACAGCAGATAATTCAGAAGTGGATCATACTATTTTCAAAAAGAAATGACACATACATTTGTGGCACAGCGCTGGGGATGTGAGGAGTGCAGGGAGATGAGAAGAGATTAAAGGGTGGAAGAGTAGAGTGGAATGAGGTAGGAGGGTTTAAGGCTGCAGCAAGGGGAGGGAGTGGGGTTTGGGGGCTAAAGTCCGGGTGGGGATGGACACTAGGATTTGGGACATGGGGGTAGGTGGCAGTGGGAGGATTAGGAGCATGTGGGCTGTCAGCCTCACCTTCTCCCCTGCTGTGTGTGCTGGGAGCTGGAGGGGCCCCTAGCGCCTCCCTCTGCCCCCCCTCGTGTGTGCCAGGACCTGAGGGGTCCTGCCACTCTCTCCCTGGCCCCTCCTGGGCTTGCCCTTCTGGGTGGTCTGAGACCTTTTCCCTGCCCCTGTGTGTGCCCTGGGATCTGGGGGCTCTGCCTATCCAGGGCATGGTCTGAACCCCTCTCCCTGCTCCTGTCTGTGTACCAGAATCTAGAAACCCTGAAAATAACACAAATTTAAACCTTTGAAAACCAGGAAATACGGTCTGTGCTAATGCAACCTTAAATCTGCCCTCTTTGAGCTCCTCCCCAATACATCCATACCATTTATACTTGTACTTCGCTTTTGTACACCGTGCAGAACACTCAGGGGACAAGGCACGTCACCATGTGGGATAGAGCCTAACACCTTCTATTTGCTGAGGTGTGATGTACTGAAGAGGAGCTACCTACGCCTGCCCTTTACTCAAACACAGCCCACGCCACATAAACAACCCTACCTCTGCTAAATTTTACAGCCCCTTCACCCTTATACACAGGATGCCATCTAATACTATACTTCCATTTACCCATATACCAGTGATTCTCAAACTTTTGTACTGGTGACCCCTTTCACACAGAAAACCTCTGAGTGTGACCCCCCCCTTATAAATTAAAAACACTTTTAAATAATTTTAACACCATTATAAATGGTGGATGCCAAGCAGGGTCTGGGGTGAGGGCTAACAGCTCACAACCCCCGCCATGTAATAACCTCACGACCCCCTGAGGGGTCCCGACCGCCAGTTTGAGAACCCCTGCCGTAGACCATGCTCATACCCCACCTCACTGTCCCCACGGCGAGAAGACACTTCTGTCCCACTATTGGCATAACTTACATAGCTCATTGCTGAAATGCGGCATACTGGATCTCTCAAGGCACCTCTTTTCACACCGGGAAGAGGGCAGGGAGCAAGGCTTAGCTGCCCCCCACACACAAAAAAAAGCCCCCCCAGGTGTCCTCATATCACAATCACACATCCCACAAGTTGGTCCAACTAATCCTGCCACCATGCTACACAGCTAGACCAACACTGTGGTCTGCAGTGCATGCAAATAATTCCCAGTGGCTCCTGCCAGCTCCAGAGTGGCAGAGTTAAGGTTGTGTTAGCATCACCATTACTTTCACTCTTTATTTACTGGTTTTCAGCTGTATGAGTTTTGCTGTGCTTGACCTTCTGGAAAGGCATGAGATACCACCAGGCAATCTTAATTCTGCATTATCGAAGTTTTTTGTTGGTCATATCTATCTATCACCTTTATACAAGGTTTTTCTGTTTGCTTAAGCCAGGGAAACTACGTAACACATGCGTTTTCCTGTAAAAATATCTTCAAAGAAAAATAGATCAACATTAGGTTGCTTAATCAGGTCTGCCTAATGTAAGAAACCTCCAGCGTAGCCCTATGTCCCAGCTACCTTATCACCCAAGTGCCAATATTCCAATGGAAAATCAGCACTTCTCTAGATTCCGCTTTCATGTTCTTTTGTAGTGCCTAATGCTGACAAAATATTATGGCTGTTTATGTAAAAGCCGAATTGCTTAGTTGGTTTCATTTGAAATTCCACCTATTCAGGAGCTACATTTCACTACTTACAAATAGCAATGATACACAATCTTAGAACTCGTAATGATAGCTGTCTAGTCTATCATTAAACCATTTGAAGTGAGCTTTGGAAAATCAGGCTCAGTGACAATTATTGGAATTCAGCATTTGCTACAATTTTAACATCATTTGAGTACAAAAACATACTATCTAAGTACAACAGTGCAGGATTTGTATTTTAGATTACACATAACTTGCTGATTTAAAGCTCCCCCAAAGTTGCATGCAGTGTTAGGTACATATAAAATGGCTGAGAGTTTTCAAAATTCTTTGAGGTAGCCTGCAGTATGCACACTTCAGATCCACAGTGCTGCCATTATTGTAAGATATTCACTTTTCCCCCCTCAGTTAACTTTTTTCTGTGACTCTCCAAAAGAGCATCAAAATATAAATAACATGTAATGATATATAAGCAAATGTCCATACCTGGATAAGGGATTTTTCCAAAGGTAACAATTTCATACAGAAGAATTCCAAAGGACCACACATCAGACTTAATAGTAAAGGAACCAAAGTTAATTGCTTCTGGTGCTGTCCATTTAATAGGGAATTTTGCACCTAAGAAACAATATATTCTCAATTAACCAAGTATATAAGTTGCTTGAAAAATATAACTACTAACATATCTTATAGACTCATCTATTATTTCCATTAAGTATAGGGTATACAGTGAGTATTCAGTATAAAATCCTGTCTATCTTAGGGGACTTAAAAGGTACTAGCTGCTCTTCCTGTCCCAGAGTTATTGTACAGATGCAGTGCTTAATTTGTGCCAGGGCTGAACCCCGGCACCTCTAGGCTTGGCAGTTCATAGCCCCGGCACCTCTGGGCTTGCTGCATCGGTTATGAATGTAAAAAAATTGCTTGAGTCCTGGAACCTCTTTCATTACAGACTAAGCACTGTACAGATGTACTAAGAGCTGGATCAGATGGAACCACCACGATGTACTCTCACACATCCTGTGTGTCTCCTGGAAGTCTCAGAGAAGTTAAGAATTGAATTTGGGGTTTTCAAAGGAACCTAAGGCAGTTAGGAACTCAGTTTCTAACTTCCTTAGTCTCCTTTTACATATATTTTTATATATATATATTTATATATTCTCTCACCCCATAGGTTGTTTCAGACCAACTGGAATGATAGTGTGGGGAAAACTTTTCACAGACACGAAATGCCATATTTGTATGAGTGAACTGAAGACTTCGTTCTAAGGTGTTGTGAGCCCAACACCTTTCACCACTACTACATTTACTTACAAATTTAGACAGAAAAAATAAAAGTTATACATCGCTTTTCAACCCACCATTGTCTATGCTCTATTGTCCTCTACATTTATCAGTTCAGAATCAAAAGATGTGAGTTTTCATGTAATGGTTGTGCCACTCAAATACTTTGCATCGCTGTCATTAATATTACCCCTAACTAACTCCATTCCATATACAGAATCTTGACTTCCCTGGGAGTTTTGCCTTTGTAAGAAATGCAGAATTAGGCACAAGTCTATCTTCAATATAATTTTTAATTGATTTAATCCTTTGTTTCATGTCCAACTATATTAAACGACACAAGCAAGTGGGTGCAGAGCGAATTCTAACCATATTTTAAAATCCTCTCACTTCTACTTACCACCTCTATTGTGGAAAGGATGCTCGAGCACATCTCATTTATGCGTTTGAGGATAAAAACGAATACTAACATTTTCTCTTAGCAAATAAGAAAAACTCAGTTCATTGTCTAATTCAACAAGATGAAAAGCTTTGCTATGTTATGCCAAATAGTTAATTAGTTTGATTTGTAAAATTTATTGTGTTGCTTAAAGAAGGTACAAACTGTACTTTTCATAAACTTTCTAGTTTGAACAATCTGGAATGAGGGGACAGAGTAATTTTTAAGAACAGCTTTGTCATTAGAACACCATATTTAACATATTATTCTGGCATTTTTCACACTGTGCTGTGTGCTTCTCATTTTTATGTTAAACAAATGCCCAAATCTGTGTCTCTTAACAGAATGAGTTTTACAGAGCTAAAAAATATAAATTGATACATACCTTCCCGTGCTGTATATTCATTATCTTCAATTACTCTGGCTAGTCCAAAATCAGCAATTTTGCACATCAATGAATCCGAAACCAGAACGTTAGCTGCTCTCAGATCTCTATGAATGTAGTTTTTCCTTTCTATGTATGCCATTCCCTCTGCAATCTGTAAAAAGAGTAGTGCTTTCATTTTTGGTATTTTTGCAGCACACTGTATCATCCTAAGCGACTATGAGCTTTTCTCCTTTACCACATCAGTACACCTTCATTAATTACTATAGCATCAACTGTGTTGAGCATTTTACATATATATGGGGGCAAAGTCCCTGCCCAGAAAAGCTTTTAGCGTAAGGGTCAATCCTGCAAATCTTCACTCAAAATAGACATCTCAGTGATTCTAAAAGGACTGCTTGTGTGAATAAGTGTTTGCAGGATTGGGCCCTCCACAGCCACATCCATTACAGTCCCTGATTGGGCAGAGAATTTAAGCACATGCTAAGTCCCACTGAATTCAGTTAGGCATGTGTTTACAAACCTTCCTGAATCAGGGCCTTCATATTAATAAAGAAATATTAAAATTATGTTGTGGGATTTCTTCCCCAAAAATTCCCTATAGAAAAACTGGTGATAAATTAACATGTTCAAATAATAAAATGGAATAGGATTAATAAATAAATAAAAGCCTTGTATGGAATTCCTATTACTGTGTCCCCCTTTTAAAGGGGAGATTAGGCAAGAGAGTAGACTTTGAAGTGTTAGCAAAACTGCAAATTATAAGAACAGCCATACTGGGTCAGATCAAAGGTCCATCTAGCCCAGTATCCTGTCTTCCGACAGTGGCCAATGCCAGGTGCTTCAGAGGGACTGAACAGAACGGGTAATCATCAAGTGATCCATCCCAGTGCCCATTCCCAGCTTCTGGCAAACAGATGCTAGGGACACCATCCCTGCCCATCTTGGCTGATGGGCATGATGGACCTATCCTCCATGAATTTATCTAGGTCTTTTTTGAACCCTGTTATAGTCTTGGCCTTCACAACATCCTCTGGCAAAGAGTTCCACAGGTTGCTAATATAATACACCTCTACCTCGATATAACGCTGTCCTCGGGAACCAAAAAATCTTACCGCGTTATAGGTGAAACTGTGTTATATTGAACTTGCTTTGATCCACCGGAGTGCGCAGCCCCGCCCCCCCCTTCTGCCCCCCCCGCCGGAGCACTGCTTTACCGCGTTATATCTGAATTCGTGTTATATCGGTTCGCGTTATATCGAGGTAGCGGTGTATCTAATACAAATTTGAACATTTTCAAGAAAATTATCATACAGAGGTCAATTAGCTTTGTGCTTATTCCCATTTACTGTATGCATCTGTTCATACACTAGGAATGTTTGGCAAAACCCTGCTCTTACGTACCTTAATTTCATACGTAAACAAAGAAAAAAATTGTAATTTTATTTCATAACTATCCAAACCAAATTAAAAGTGGTAAATATTTTGGCAGTTATCAGAGATGATTTTTCAGCATTTGCCCAGATCATTACTTCATTTTTAAAATGGTGTGTGAAAGCATAGGGTGATATACTCATATAACACCAAAGCGTGTCCTAGTTGCTGTACGGGACAATAAACCTTGCACACTTGGAAAGCCACTGCCAAACAAGGAACCCGGACTATACAGACTAATCTGCTCTGATACTGCTCTTCCAAAATTCCTGTGGATGGTATGTTATAATACCCTTCCTCTTGTATGGGGAAAACACTGCTGTCTGTTCTGTGGATATGCTGGGGTAGGAAGAGAACATAGGAAACTTTTTCAAACCCCAATCCACTGGCGCATTAGCGGTCTCCTTGTCAGTGCAGGAGAAGTTAGCACCAGTCTGCATGTCGTGTGGCTGCCCTTGCACTGCCGCAGGTGTACAGGAGCTTGCTCCATTTTGTGCTAGACAGAGCATCTGACTCTAATTTAAAAAAAAAAAAAAAAAGTAGACACTTCCGCTAATGTCATAAAAAAGTCCCTGACAGGCAACCCAAGTGCATTGGCAAGCATTTATAACAGCTACCGCACACTCTTGGTTCCTCTTTTTTGAGGCAGGCAATGGAAAAATAACAGCATTTCCCTCTCCTCCTCCCCCCCCCCCGCGAGCATTTTCTTATAAACCAATATACTGCGGCTGTGCAGCTTCTTCAGACAAGCGTGTGCAGTTCCAGTTGTAAAACAGAAATAAAGGTTCTCATGCTGAACCAAAAAAAGGATTTTTACCAATATTTTGTGATGAACAGAATGCATGTGTGTGAATCTTTTATATCCATAAATGACATGAAAGGAGTAGCTGCTATGACTTGCACTACTTGCTGCAAAGGGTCTTTTTCGGGGACCTACAGACTGGCCATAAGATGGGATAGTGAATTCTGTGCCCCTAGCCCCACACAAAGTTGGATTACTTGGGTTTGGGGAGGAAGCAGAGAGCAAACTATAATTGGTACTGATGTCGGTTTTATCTGGTTTGACAATAACTCAGTTGATAGGCAGAAAAGTGCACCAGTGTCACTGAAGGAATCAACTTTCCCATCATTCCCCTGCACACATTAACAGGAATGGTCAATGTGGCATAGTGAACAGGACAACACTATGGGATACAGACTGTGATGGTGACTTTTAATTTCTATATGTACTTCCACAACCCTGCCAGCAATATCCCAGTAAAGCTGTAGGAAAGAACTTAAAAAAAAAAAAAAAAAAAAAAAAGAAACAATAAAATATTGGGGCCAGAGCCTTTGACATCAACAGAGCTGATTTACATCAGCTGATGATCTGGCCCTTTATTTTTTTAAAAAAAAGGGGGATCCATTACATTTTGAGCAATTTTGAACTCAAAATTACTCTTTTTCCATGACATTTCAGGACAATCTTTTGTCTGCACTGAATCATGTGGAAGTTCAAAAATCACGCACAAATCATGCATGCCCCTAGACTCCTTCCCAGCAATTACTTCCCTCTCCCTCAGCTCCTCCATTACCCTGGACTTCCCCAAACCTTTGCACTGCTTCTGAGAAGTGTGGGAAATACATTTCTGTGTTGTACTTTAAATGAATTATTACTAAGAATTCTGTATTAATATGCCTAGTAAGGAATCTGTTTGTCAAAAAACATTTCCTGAATCTTTTTTGTCATCTGTTGTTACAGACATAGTTGCTGACAGGTATTTTGAAATAAATTACCAAAATAATTGAAACTGGCGTGATTGTACTGTGTTATTTTGACAAATAAAATATGCAGAATTTTGCAGAATTTTAAAATATTTTGTGCAAGAATTTTTAATTTTTTGGTGCAGAATTCCCCCAGGAGTAAAGAGGGGGTGAGAAGCAAAGTAACTGAAAACTGGTTTATACTTTTACACAAATAAACAATGCTCAGGTGTGACATAACCCACTATCCATAGTAAGGCGTGACACAGAGGTTCAACCACTAAACAGGAGCTTCCACATGCATTATAATACTTGTATATTCTAATAATCATCATCTGAGTTTCACTGACAAGCCACAGGTGCTATATGTAAAAATCAAGTAATGAGCATGAAAATGAAGTCACTCTCGCCCATTCACGTAAAGATAGTTTATACACAAAAATCAGCAACCAAACAGCTGTTGTTCAGCTACATGCAAACTCTAGACAGGCCTATGAGGTTGGTTTTGGTTTTGGTTTTGATTTTATTGCCTATATGGTAGGTAGGGTTGCCAATAAACCCTGGAGGTTTTAATCACATGACATAATCTTTAATTCCTGAAGACTCCAGGACAATCCTGGAGGGTTGGCAACCCTAGTTAGGACATAGAGTACTTCCATACTTTCTACATTTACTGCATAACTGTGATTATTAAACAAATAATATTCTATTTTCCCCCCTTTAAATATTTATTGCCAGGCTTCCAGGACTACCAGGACTATATATATATATATATATATATATCTCCAATCTCCAAACAGTAAAACTATGTACGTAGCATCAGAATGTTGAACGATCCAGCATCCCATGGCTGAAATAAACCATTCCATAAACCAGCCTCTCTACTGCAAAGCTACATAGAAAAATACACAGTAAATCAGGCTCAACCTTGCATAGGACTGGGAGCCAGCATTCTTTTCTCAGCTCTGCCATTGATTTGTTTTGTGATCTTAGACTAGCTTTATACTGTAATCTCTGTCTCAATTCCCTCCTCTGTAAAACTGGGAAGATGCTTGAGTCAGCCACAGGAGCGTTGTGGAAAATTAATTAGTAAGTGTATGTAGAGTAGTTTCAAAATGAAAAGCACTATTACGAGTGCTAAATAAAATGACTGCTGAAATGGTCGCTAAACCAGACAGTACTGAATGCTGCTGGAGCAAGTAGCATGAAAGAGCAGACATGACTGAAGAACCTCAGAGCCCTGATTGCGCTGTATTTCAACTCACACACAGTCCTCTTTCTTTTCTTATGGTTTCCACTCCAGAAAGGTGTAGAATCTTTTCCGCAGTCGTTTTGTCTCTAACATGTGATTTCAGCATGGTTTGCAATGCTGTCTGTTGCGTGTTAACTTACAGAGAATGTGCATTTAATGGCACGTTAAACAGATGCTCCTTTTTGTTTCTAGGCTGCATGTAAAAATACAAATTCCTGGTGTTACCAAACTGTGTTTGATTGGGCTCAGTATTGTTGTTTCATCTCAAAGTTCCCCCAAGTCAATGGCTCTTCAGACTGACACTCTTAAGACACGTCAGTTTCATAGCCATGGGTACACAAGGGAGCAATGTGGCCAGGATCATGCCCAACTGCTTCTGACTGCCCTATGGATGAGGTACCCATTTTGCAGCTGCATGAACCTGAGGTGACCTTTCGGCATGAGATCAAGCAAGACTCAAACCCCTGACCTACAAGCACCTTAATCAGCCACTGCACCTATGTGAACCTCATATTTCAGATGAACCTTTACATTTTCCCTCTTAGATTTAATAAACGGCTTTTTTTAAAAAAAGCTTAAAATTAAGTTTCTTATCCTCTGCTACTGTCAAACAGTAGAGTGCAAGTCAGGAATGTGTGTGTAAAGGTGGCTCAGTTGTTCCCTCTACATTATCCTGATTCTGCAGAGACAGAGTAACCAAAGAGCTGCTCTGAATTGCCCTAGCT